AAACTGGATTCTCTCCACTTCATGGTAATTCCCCTGCATTCCCTCCCTTCCTCCTTCCCTCCCTCCAGAGAGGTTAATTGTAAGCAGATTTACAAATCTGAACATTGCTTCAGTGCACTGAAGCAATCTGGAACAGTAATTCTGTGTCTTTATAAACATAATTTTGCGCTATTAGAGCTCACTGCAGACGAGGTTTAATGCCAGCGTGTGGGCTGGGTGTGTGGCTGAAGGGGACCCCAAAGATCATCAAGCACAGTGACAGTCCCTGCAGCCTGCAAATTTTATAGAAGAGGATGGAAGTGGAAGAGCTGCTGGGCTAAGCTGAGCAGTTGTGGCAGAACCAAGCTCCATTTTCTTCCCCCTTGTACCCTGCAATAGATCCAGTTTAGGTTTTCTTTAAGGGCAGGCTTCACCTTACAAAGCGTATGTTCCAGCATCCTGCCTGAAAGAGTCCATTATTGTTCGAGGGTTTTGCCCAGCTTCCCACATGCTCCCTTAATTGTGGGAGGCAGCGCCGTACGCGTGACCCCTCACCAGCTCCCGAGGACCGAGGTCCGTGCATCCAGGCAACAGTGTGCTTCTTGCTGACACCTGGGGTCAGGCCAAGGATGGTGCTTCAACATCAGCTTAGAGATCACGTAATAGAAGGGCAAAGGTTAGTTTCCTAAGGCTCTCCATCACATAATGAGCCACTGTCAGCCTTAGTAGCCTTCTCACTTCAGCAGCAGCAGCAAAAAAAAAGAATCCTCTGTGATCACCATTTGTCTCTACATGTTAATCAAAAAAAATTAACAGGCTAGAAGGGCAAGAAGGATAGAAATGGTTTGGAGTGGGGATCAGAGCCTCAGCTGCACCTACACACTCCTGAGCACCGACACATGAACTGATGTGGGACAGCCATACAATAAACCCAAAACCTGATGCACTGCCGGTGGAGGGGCTGGCTCCAGGCTGTTAGACTGAGAGCTGCAGCTCAGGTTGCAGGGACACAAGCTCAGAAGTTTCTGAAGGAGGGGGATCTGATGAAAGACAGCAGGGCTTTATTTCAAGCTGTGTTTTGCCCTGTTGTAGGATGATAAGACAGTCATCACTAAGTCGTTTCCCCTCACACCCTTTGTCTTGTCTATTTGGAGCACAAACTTTTTGCAGCAGCGACTGCACAATGAAAGACAGTCCCTACACTAGTGGGATCCAGTTTCAGCGGGTCCTGCAGATACTATCACAAGGCAAATAGCTCCACTCCTGCCCCGGAGGCAGTCTTGTTACTGACCTCTCTTGATCAGATCTGGGGACTAACATGGGGTTGAAGATAACTTTTTTCCCCTACACAAACAAAACAACCTATAAAGAAATGCAAATTTGGTGCATTCCTTCATCATCTCACCTCATTCTCTAAAACAAGATAAAAGCATAGAAGAAATGCTCAGTACCTCTTCTCTTCCAAAACACCGTAACTCCATTCTTAAAACCTTACTCATCACACTGGCTGGGCAGCCAGTTCCCATCGCTGATGTTTGCATGTAACGCTCATCAAGCTCAAAAGGAGTCGCATATGCAAGTACTTTTGTGTGCCCTTTAAAGGTAGAACAAATAAACACAGGACAGCAGTGTTTAAGCACAGATTATTCTGTATACTGAAATTCTGCATTTACTCCTCCTTAGCTCCTGGCAACAGACCTTGGGGTTCCTATTTGCAGCTGCCCACCACGATTACTTTCCCCATTTGGGACTGGTTTGAGCATTGTAGGCTTGTTTCCCTATGAGATTTCTCTGATACTTTTTTCTGTCCTTTGTTCATGGCTTTCACGTTACAAGGTAACAGAACTGTAAGAAGACAGAAAAACAAAATAGGAATAAGGTACTGGGGGAAAAGAAAAACCTCTATCTGCTAAGAAAAAGCCCACTGACAAATGTGCCTTTGTTTACATAAACTTCTGAAAAAATGGAATTGAAACCTGGAGACATGTATGAAAGAAGGTCAGATAAGAAAATAGTTTTTCAAATCTCTTAAGAGATGAAAAGCTCCTGTTTATGAAGGGATAACACGGAATCGCTTCAGACTTAGTTCTTAAACCCATAAGACAAGACACACTGCATTCAAACAGATGACATTTAAAATAATTTCTCTATTCCTTTGCAAATGCCTTCTACAGAAATGCAGCCAGAGGACATCCCTCACTTCTCCCCAGTATCTTCTGTTCCCCCTCCAACCTGCTATCCCCCTTTCAGTGCCTGTAGTGGTTTGAGATAAAGGCAACTGCCAAAGGGCAATTTCACTCAGTTCACCTGAGGAAATAAGACAGAGCAAAACCTTAATTCTTGCTGGGAAAGCTCCAGCTACCCTATGGGAGAAAACAAACCATCACCTAGAAGGCAGCAAGTCTTTATACTTTCCCCTAAGTAACTTTGGTTAACATGTTAGAATATGAGCCGGCAGTGTGCCCAGGCAGCCAAGAAGGCCAATGGCATCCTGGCCTGTATCAGAAATAGTGTGGCCAGCAGGAGGAGGGAAGTGATAGTGCCCCTGTACTCGGCACTGGTGAGGCCACACCTCAAATTCTGTGTTCAGTTTTGGGCCCCTCACTACAAGAAGGACGTTGAGGTGCTGGAGCGTGTCCAGAGAAGGGCAACGAGGCTGGTGAGGGGTCTGGAGAACAAGTCCTATGAGGAGCGGCTGAGGGAACTGGGGTTGTTTAGCCTGGAGAAGAGGAGGCTCAGGGGAGACCTCATTGCTCTCTACAACTACCTGAAAGGAGGTTGTAGCGAGGTGGGTGTCGGTCTCTTCTCCCAAGTAACAAGCGATAGGACAAGAGGAAACAGGTTTAGATTGGCTATTAGGAAAAATTTTTTCACCGAGAGGGTTGTCAAGCGCATTGGGACGCTGCCCAGGGAAGTGGTTGAGTCACCATCCCTGCAGGTATTTAAAAGACGTAGATGCAGCACTTAGGGACACGGTTTAGTGGTGGACTTGGCAGTGCTAGGTTAATGGTTGGACTTGATGATCTTAAAGGCCTTTTCCAACCTGAATGATTATATGATTCTATGAAACACTGCTCATATTTCCAAAAAGTTACTCTGATGTGATGTTACAGCATTTAATAAGATTACTACTTCACGTCAGCAATAAAATCCTTAAGAATTCAAGACCAACAAGACCTCAGGTGAGAAAACTGTTTTGTCTTCTCTTCCAAACTGCATCAAACTCTTTTTATCATGGAAAAAAGCTTCATGTGCACAGCTATATATATGGTCAAATAGCTATCAATAAAATCCTCCTCATTCAATCTTACATCTTTGTGCATCTTTGTATTTAGCGTACCTTCTCCTTTACTCCCATCATGGTCTCCACTCCGGTAAATCTTTACGTAAGTATAGGTAAGTGCACTTCAGGCACACAAGAAAACTAGAAAACCCAACAAGGACAGTGAAATCATGGAGATCATGAGACCTCCTAGCTCCCCCAGTTGCTTGAAATTCGATGTCGGCCCTTTTCAATAACCACAATTTCAGATTTCCATGAAAAGGAGTTGGAAACACTGCAAAGTGGTCCTGAAGATATATCTGGTTCTTTCTCTGCTCCTCAACACTTTTCCTCTGAGAGGAGTGGAAGGAGAGGGTGGGAGAGAAAAAAAGGGATGCAATCAGGAGAGACCAGTGTGACTTTGGGACCTCTTCGGCTCCTGCCCAAGTATGGAGAAGGGAACTACTGTGAAGTCCCATGCAATTCACGAAGGAGAAATGCAGAGGATGAGAATTGATTTAAATCGAAGTTCAGTCATAAACGTCTCATCAGTGTTAATTTTTTTTTCTCTTCTCTTAAAGTCTCTCTAAGGAACTCCTGTGGGTGAATTAAAGTAAAGAAGGTGTGTTGGGCAATTTTTTCCCCTCTCTTATGCACACACTGCAGATTTCTGTGGTGTTTATTACTGGAATTGACCTACTGAAATCAGGAACATCACTGACAGAGGTAGAAACCCTCAACAATCAAACAAATCACTACACCAAAGACTTTTTTGTTACTGCAACCACTCCAGTCAAAAATGAGAACATTTTAGAAGCGTTACCCCACAGGGATTTGAGAATGGCGCTTTTAGCTAAATTTTCATGCTTGACAGGGATATCAATAAACTGGAAAAAGAGAATAATCACTGATTTCTACCTAAATATTTTAAAATGTTACTTTAAAGGGCAGACCACATTTCTAGAAAAGAAGGGAGAGGAAAATCTTTTGGGGTTTTTGTGCACTCGGCAGCACTTGTACATAGTCAGGTTTACTGGCTTTGCAGCTTTAGAAGAGGATTTGCCAGCTTGTTTCACCTTTCGGAGAGGCTCCAACTGGTAAGAACAGAAGACTCAAGGTTGTTGTACTGTCAGCTTTGTAAAAAGGCACAAACTGGAGCTACCACCAAAAGGAGGGCCTCTGGCACAAGCACCTGCACTAGCGCGAGGGAGAAGGTGCAAGGCTGAAGAAAGCTGCTGCCTGCTGCATGAGAGCCAGTGGGAAGCCCTCATGAAATGATATCCTGGGTTGACACCAAGCCCAGCAAAGCCATGAGCCGGTCTGCAGGGCAGAGGGAGGACTGAAACTGAATTTAAGAAGCCAGCACTGTTCACCTTACGCCCTTGCCCCCAGAAGCCATTTCCAGAGCAGAAGGGAGATAATGCAATCTTAAAGGAAGTAGCTGTGGGTTTGTTATTTTAGAAAAGCTGGGGAAATTACCCACTTGGGCATTCTCACATTCACACAGGGTGGCCACATCACACAGGCAGCGTGTTGCACTAGAAGTTCTTAACTGATGGCATTTAGGCTTCAAAGTTAAGGACTCAGAAGTTTCTAAAGTACAGGTGTGAAGTTGTGTGTAAGATTCATACTCCTTTCTGTGCATATGAATGCAGATACTGGCTTCGGTCACATAATCACATAATGTTTTTCTTCCCTTGGGACTGCCACATATACATAGGATATGACAAACGATAAATTGTTTCTGAAGACAACTTACATTCTTTGGACATTCCCACTTCAAAGCACTTCTGTAGTCTGCAGTACTGGCAGCGATTTCTGGTAACTTTATTGATAACACAGTTTTTATCTCTATGACATGTGTAAACCATGTTCTTCTGGATACTCCTGCGGAAAAAGCCCTGAAATCAAGAAAAAAAAGAAATCAAATAAACTTTTGAGCTTCCCATAACCCTTAGAGACAGGCACTAACATTGCTTTAAAATAACAATATAAATTCAAAGTTGTGGCTGGAGTATGGCATCTTTAAAGACTCAGTCTTATTATAATTTAGTATTGTTTCTTGCAACATAAGACTCATCTCTTAAATAAAAACTAATTAAATAATGCAACCTAAGGCCAAAATAAACAAAACTGGAACTAGTAACAGCATTCAGGAAATGAAGCCCCAGATTATACAAAAAAAGCTCAAATAAAAATGGTTTGGGCTTATGGATGTAGTAATGAGATGGGTAAACAACAGCCTTCCTAACAGATCTGCTTGGAAGTCAAACACTCATCCAACAACCAACAGCCTCTCTCAGCCTAAACGTCCCATCCATTTTTGTTACTGCAGAGATTCTCTAGTTCGAAGGCTGCACGTAAAAAGAGAAATAATTTGAAACCCAGGTTTCTTAGCTGCTGGAACTCCTACAGCAATTAATGAGGCTTCTGCAGGCGGAAGAGTTCCAGCATCAGGTTATTGAGTTGTGAACTTGTAAGAGTTGCCAATTACAGCATTTTTTTTCTTATTCAGATACAGCTGTGAAAATAATCAAGTAATTACAATGATCTTGAACAGAAATTAAAGAGAACTAGAGGTCTGGTTTGTACTTAAGGAACACCATTTGACTGGATTCCTCCTTCGGCAAGTAAAAGAGAGAAAAACAGCCATAAATGGCAAGGTTAGCTGGCACAGAAAAAAGGCAAAAACCAAGTTAATTTCTTTATCTGCACTAAAACCCAAGCTTTAGATAATATCATATAATAATGAAGGAAAAAAAAAGAGGATTACTTTAAGCATTTTAGAGCTCAACCCACAGATATTCAGCAAAAGTATTTCTGCAACAGACATTTGGAAATTTGACAGCACTATTTAACCTTCTCACTCAGATTTTGAAAATCGTTTCAGCAAGCACCAGGGTCAAATTTCAGTCAACATCATAGCATTATGGAAGAATAGTTAGCAATTTAATATTTGTTGGAGGGCTTAAGAGGTTAAAACTCTTCAACCAGCCACATGTTTACACCCTATAGGGAAGCGGTAAACTGGATGCTGCAGACGATAGCTCTGTGCCCACAATGCATTTGTCTAAAGATGCAATCATGGCAAGCTATAAAATTGGCTCTCCTAGAAGCGCTCACCGAGATACGCGAGTAGTTCAAAAGCCAAAACCCCCTATCATTCAGAGTTAACCGGGAGAGTTTCTGGCCATATGATCAGGGAGTGGTAGGGCAGGCACAGTCAGTAAGGGCTGGTCATAAATTCCTTGCACACCCAACATGCTATAGATGCTAATGTTATGAAAATACCTCAAATTCACTCAGAACTGAAAAATGCCTCCTTAATCACGTAACCCCTGGCAATAGTTTTCCACAGCTCTTGCACAGGCAAGCCTTATCCTGAGGTTAGCTCCTCTGATTAAGAAGATACTTAATACTCCCATCAAAGAGGTAAATAAAAATTCTTCACTTCTTTCTTTTCCTTAAGCTACTGGACACAGAAGAAGAATTTAAAGCTATTTGTTTAGACAATTAAAACCTTTTAAGTTATCAATAACACTGCTATTTTATATTCCACACTTTTGATCATTAATGCTGCTTGAATCTTTGCAATGGAACGTATGGCAAGCGTGTGTACATTTGTTTACTTGCCGAGAAGAAAATTTATGCTAACATTCACTTACTACTTTCTTGCTTTGACATTCCCCTAACTGTGATGCCCGGCTCTGAGGTAATTGCTGAGGATGCTAACTAGAACTGTGTCTATAGCATCTCTTTTGGTTTAATTCAACAGACGGAAAGTGTGAGCTGTGCTGGTTCAAGGGTCTCTATATGGCTTATTCGGTCACTACTTTTTAGTTGGAAAGAGGTAGGGGAAGCCAAGACTGGTAGCTTCCCTTGCAGCCACCCTGGCTTAATCCAGTGCTGCGCGTAAATCCACACCCACAGTCACCGATGGAATAACTCTCCTACCACCAGTGTGACAGAGCAGGAAACAAAATGGCGCAAACGAACAAAAATGACCCTCTTGTGCAGCAACTGTCTCACCACGCTGAACAACTAGAGTAATTTAAAAAAAAACAGCCCCCAAAGCCTTCTCTTTGCCTGCACATGCTTTGGGGCAGAGGCTGCTGTGCATCCATGCTTGAGAGACTTCTGGCTTACTGACACAGGCATTACCTGAAACAAAATATGAGCTTCAAAAGTGTCACCCAATACAGAGAAAAGAGGAAACAGCCTCCTCCAAATATAGCTGTACTTCACCAAAATATAACCAGTAGCTAATGGCGCCCAGTGATTGATCAGTTCTGATATTTAGACGCAGCTTCTGCATCCTTTTAACCTAGGGTTTAACTACAGCCCATCAGGAAGGAAAGCAGAGGAGGCTGTCTCAGTCCTTACCATACGAAGTTGACCATACAGCCCAACAGAAAAAGGTGATCCAACTTCTGCAGACAGCAAGTATAAAGCATTCATGAACTGATTACTAATATAAAAGGCTTAAGAAGAACAAACTCAGAAAAAGCAGATCTCCAGGTCGAAACAAAGACAGTTTCTTCAACAGCCTAACCTCCCCAGGCAATGTCCTACACAGAGTGAAAGATATAGATGAGGATATTAATTGTGGAAGCTTAGACTATTGTTTTACAAATTACTTTTTAACACCTGTATTTGATTTTCTTCCTGGAGTTACACACGAAACAGAAAGAAAAATGAACTTGTTTCTGTAACATATTCAGGTGAAAAAAGGTATAATGTGATCCTGCTCAAAACTAAGGGCCTGTTTCTCAACAGCATGTTAGGGCCCACTCCCCACGTACTCTTCCCTAAGACCACACTTATTTCTACTAAGATTTGTGGCAAGCTTATTTTAAGATCTCAGCAATATGTCACTGAAAAGATTTGATCATTAAAATTTCCTCTGGACAGGCACTAAGAAAAATGCCCAGATTATAAATATTATTTCATTTCTTTGCATACAAACCCCAAACCAAAGCCATCATAGGGGGAAGTGACAGGATTTCAAGCACTGGTGGGCAAGGAGCACTTGCTGGGCGCTGGGGCTCGGTTTCCCCACCCGCCTCCACAAGCCCGGTGCCGTGCAGCCGCGAGTTTTGGGTGGCACTGCAAATAGGATCATGCCCAGAAACATTTCCCGAATCTGACACTGGGCTAAAAAAACAGATAGCGCCCTGTCTATCCCTCTGTGGGGGTTTGCACCTCACCGGCTTTGGTTACCAGCACCTCTGCAGCGAAAGAAAAGCCTGCAGGACACGGGGATGGGCAGAGCGGGCGCTTGCTGCCCAGTTAAACAGAAAAGCACATTTAAACCATTTCAAGGCTGGGTTCCAGATAGCACAGGTATAATACACTGGCTCTTCACTAAAAATAGCAAGTTAGAAGCAGGCCCACGTATTCCTCCAAGTGCTTTTTGTCCAATGACTTCCATCTAGTCTCACAACCCCAACAGTTTCATCAAAACCCAAGAAAATCCAAATGCAACCTAACCTTAAGAAGTTGTCAGAAACTTCAGAGACAGCAAACCACCACTGCTTATAAATTAATCAACTTTGAGCACCTATTGGCTCTTGGAAAACAAGCTACTACCTACTGTAATACATTTACCTTGAAAGGAATCTGTTTGGCCGAATATTTACATGAGCAATTTTTTATGCAAATATTTTAGCACCCTGTCCAAATTAACACCCTGTGACAGGAGATGAGACACTCCTGTGCCGAAAACAAGCACAAATTATTCTTTCTTTGTAATTTAAAATGCCGTATGAATATAAAAAAAAAAACATTCTGTGAGACATAAAGCATTACTGTCATACATAATTGTTTTCGATAGCACCTACAAAGTACTTGAATTTAAAGTAGAGGAAGCTACTGAAGACCTATCAGGAACAGTGATTTGCTCTAATATTCCTTTTATCCACAACTTTTGAAAGGAACACGGATCTTGTGTTTTTATTTTAGCGAAGACAAACAAAGCTTTGCAGAAATCACACTTATGAATTAATTCCGTCCTTCTGAGCTGCTTTTATTGGCATCCTTTACACAAAGCATTTCGGACAAACGTTTCAATTTTTAATCTCATCTTTTCTGCGCACTATGGCATGTTCCTCCGAGGCCCACCAATCTTGTTATCTTAATGGATGACAGATAGAGTATCACTCTGACCATGCCACATTAGGTGTCCTCATTTACCGAGTGCAAGGAAAAAATGCTGAGTATAAATTATTCAGAAATCTATTGTATCAGTGTGTGTTCTCTCAGCATCCACCACTGGCAGAGCAGACAGATTATTTTTCACTTTTAATTGTGTTGATATCCTATCTGCTGCACTGAAAGCAGAGAATGATACGTGAAACCATATGTATTAAGCAGCAAATAAACCCAGTTTACTAGGTCTGTTGCTTAGAACTAAATAACCTATTTAGTCAAACTAACTTCAACACAATGCCAAAAAAATCCACCTCATTCCACTCACCACTTTTGTAGTATTTGCCTGGTAGTGTGTCAAAATTAGAGAGCTCAGTACAGAGCAGTGGTGCCTACAGAGAATATTAACTATTTCAGTAATATTTTGAATGCCATTATGCCACTGGTTATCTGAATACAAAGGAGGTCATTAAGCAGGAGCCCTCAAGATAATGTTAAGTGTTTAAGCTTACAGAATTGTTAGCATGAACTGCTACCCTTACATATCTGATAGGGAATCTATACAACTCCCTCACCTTCACTGTCCAGTTGATTTTGGCAAGTCAGATGATTTAGAGCTCAAGTTACGCACATTGCATGAAGAGATGGATCATTTGATCTCAAAAACGTTTTAAAAATATTTTGCCAGCAAAGGGCATGCCAAACATTATTTGCAGATGTAGCGGGCTTACAATTTGAAAACTTGCACTGCCAG